ATTAATATTCGTCCATTAATTTTTTCTATATTGAATATATGTTTTTCTAAATTATTTCGTATTATAAGCATAACTCCTTTTCCAATAGCATTTTTATTATCATTATGTGAAATAATTTTGTATCCAGCTTTATCTGCATTGAAAAAATTAATTTCTTTATCAGCTTTTTGTGTTTCTGTAATGCCCATTATATCGACACCATTTTTTCTTATATAGTCAAAAATATTGTTCAATTTATATTCTGTTAAGGTACATATATTAAGCACCGCTATTTTTGTAAAATATTTCTGATTATCGTGCTCGTTAAACATATCTATGTTATTGTTAATTTGATTTGGAATTGTATTATCTTCCATTAAGTTTGTTTTTTTCTTCTTTTTCTTTTTTCTTTTATAATTAATTAAATGTGGGGGTGGATTGTTAGAATAATTATTAATTAAATTATTATTATTGGGTTGTACAATCATTAAGATTTAAAAAGTGGATTCGAACTGGTTGGCTGAATTGCTAGTACCCCCAATACTTGCAATTTTAGTTGTAGTAGAATCATTTTGTTCTTTATCGGAAAGTTGTCCAGTAAGTTTTGTGATCATATTGAACATATTATTTAATAAACTATCTTGTTTTTCTACTCTTGATTCTAAGTTAAGCACTAAGTTGTTGTCATCATTTTCACTTGAAGATGAGTCAGGTTTGGCACGCTTATTATTATCGTTAACAATTGGTAATTTGTCAGCCTTTTGTTGGAGACCTTTACGATTATTATTATTTTTAAAGGTTTCTTTAATTGAATTAATTTCTTTTCTAACTATATCATTTTCTTTTCTAAATTCGGTAATCATTGCATTTAAAGTAGTAAGTTGTTTTTTGATCTCTGATAAATCATTTTGTGAAGATGTATGTGTGTTGTTATTTGGCTCATGCATAGAGCCTCCTTTCCTAGTACCGCCTTGAATTGGGTTGTGGTTGTTGTCACTTATATCTTCTTCGTCACCCCAAGCTTGCATTTCTTCTTCACTAAAGGTATAAGTATTGTTATTACGTTGTCGGTTGATAATATTATTTTGATTCCAATGTCGTTGTCGATTATTAGGATATCTATTTCCCTTAGTAGCATCGGCGTATGAATTGAATTTAGATTTATTACGATTTTTAAACTGTTGGAGCAGTTGATTACGATTTAATTTATTTGAACGTTGTCGTAATTCCGTTTGACATTCCTTCGCTACATGTCCCGTATATCCGCATCTATGACAAGATTTGGTATCTAACGGGGACCATTCTAGTTGTTGACCTTCATATTCATATACATTATTGGTTGCAATACTAAAATCTTCATCATTTCGAAAATATACAAAAGCATATTTCATAGGTTTATATGTCACGGGGTTGCGTGGAATAAAGATAGACGCAGCGCTGGTTTCAGTAACCAATGGTTGTAAATCACGTGCACAAGTATTGAACGGTAAACCATTGATTTTTGCTGCAAATTGGAACCTTTCAGATTTTTTATCTTCAGATAGCAAAACAGGTACCACTGAGAGACATTCTTTAAACGCCCATACACTCCATTGAGCATAAAAAGGTTGTACGCTAAGTTCGTCTTTGTAGGTTATAAAAGCTTGTCTGTATATACCTTTAAGTCGTGTAGTAATGCCATCTTCTTCTAATTCTCCATATCGACTAAAAACAGCCTTTAAATTATAATTTTCCATATATAACGGTATATTGAATACCTTGATAGTACGGCTTTCACGACTTTGAAAAAGTTGTTTTCGTTTTTCTTGTAAATTCTGTATCTGTCTCTTATACACATCTAGATGTGTATAAGAGACAGACGTTTATCTATGGCTTCTTTAATTTTATCATTTTTTAGATTAAACATTTCCAATGAAAATTTTGAAAATAAAGTATCGTATATCTCATTTAATTCCTTAACATATTGACCTATTAAAAATCGACTTAATCTATGTTGTAATAAGAGATATGTTGAATTCACTTCATCTATTGAATGTCTTTTAACTAAATGTTTTAAATAATTATTGTAGTATTTCCAATTTAGAGCGAGTTTTTCAAAACTCAATTTCTTTTTAAATTTTCTTCTTAAATATACAATATATCGTAAATCTTTATATAATTGTGTATGTTGAAATGTTTTGTCACGGTCAACATTAACTATAATTTCTTTAGATCGAATATGTTGTTGTTTAATTTTCAATAAATTATTTTTAAAAAACGACCACTTTTCTTCAATCGAACCATTTAAATTAAAAGAAGTAGCAACCTTTTTTAAGTCATCTTGAAAATTTAAAAGATCTTTTTCTTCAGTATTATCAAAATCAAAAATATATCTAATTAAATTTACATTAGTCGTATTCATTTTTTTTGTCTGTAAAATCGGATAGATCAAATCTTCATTAATAAAATCAAAAGTTAATAAGGCATGATCCGTTTTAATTATATCTCTTATATTAATAATTTTTGCCTTCGATGTTTTCGTAAAAAGATTTTCTGATATCCATATATAATCAATTCTTGATTTGAAACGACCAAAGTAAGTCATTATATCTTTTGTATTGTCCATGTCATAAGTTTCCTTATGAACATCCCATAAATTAAGATTTTCTAATTTCTGAAAAATTTTCAACATTTTTGGCACAGATTGTTTATTATCAAGTCGTTTTTTAAACTTTCTATATTGTAAATTAAAATCACCACAACAAATGATTTCCATTTTTTTAGATTTAGCTATTTTAATATGATTAATCACATGAGTATTCATATTAATTTTGTTGTTCATATCTACACCCGTACGATGATTAGCTAAATTATAAAATAATATTAAACGTAATTTTTTATTATTTTTAAAGGAAAATCCACTATTAATATTCGTCCATTAATTTTTTCTATATTGAATATATGTTTTTCTAAATTATTTCGTATTATAAGCATAACTCCTTTTCCAATAGCATTTTTATTATCATTATGTGAAATAATTTTGTATCCAGCTTTATCTGCATTGAAAAAATTAATTTCTTTATCAGCTTTTTGTGTTTCAGTAATACCCATTATATCGACACCATTTTTTCTTATATAGTCAAAAATATTGTTCAATTTATATTCTGTTAAGGTACATATATTAAGCACCGCTATTTTTGTAAAATATTTCTGATTATAGTGCTCGTTAAACATATCTATGTTATTGTGAATTTGATTTGGAATTGTATTATCTTCCATTAAGTTTGTTTATTTCTTCTTTTTCTTTTTTCTTTTATAATTAATTAAATGTGGGGGTGGATTGTTAGAATAATTATTAATTAAATTATTATTATTGGGTTGTACAATCATTAAGATTTAAAAAGTGGATTCGAACTGGTTGGCTGAATTGCTAGTACCCCCAATACTTGCAATTTTAGTTGTAGTAGAATCATTTTGTTCTTTATCGGAAAGTTGTCCAGTAAGTTTTGTGATCATATTGAACATATTATTTAATAAACTATCTTGTTTTTCTACTCTTGATTCTAAGTTAAGCACTAAGTTGTTGTCATCATTTTCACTTGAAGATGAGTCAGGTTTGGCACGCTTATTATTATCGTTAACAATTGGTAATTTGTAAGGCTTTTGTTGGAGACCTTTACGATTATAATTATTTTTAAAGGTTTCTTTAATTGAATTAATTTCTTTTCTAACTATATCATTTTCTTTTCTAAATTCGGTAATCATTGTATTTAAAGTAGTAAGTTGTTTTTTAATTTCTGATAAATCATTTTGTGAAGATGTATGTGTGTTGTTATTTGGATCATGCATAGAGCCTCCTTTCCTAGTACCGCCTTGAATTGGGTTGTGGTTGTTGTCACTTATATCTTCTTCGTCACCCCAAGCTTGCATTTCTTCTTCACTAAAGGTATAAGTATTGTTATTACGTTGTCGGTTGATAATATTATTTTGATTCCAATGTCGTTGTCGATTATTAGGATATCTATTTCCCTTAGTAGCATCAGCGTATGAATTGAATTTAGATTTATTACGATTTTTAAACTGTTGGAGCAGTTGATTACGATTTAATTTATTTGAACGTTGTCGTAATTCCGTTTGACATTCATTAGCTACATGTCCCGTATATCCGCATCTATGACAAGATTTGGTATCTAACGGGGACCATTCTAGTTGTTGACCTTCATATTCATATACATTATTGGTTGCAATACTAAAATCTTCATCATTTCTAAAATATACAAAAGCATATTTCATAGGTTTATATGTCACGAGGTTGCGTGGAATAAAAATAGACGCAGCGCTGGTTTCAGTAACCAATGGTTGTAAATAACGTGCACAAGTATTAAACGGTAAACCATTAATTTTTGCTGCAAATTGGAACCTTTCAGATTTTTTATCTTCAGATAGCAAAACAGGTACCACTGAGAGACATTCTTTAAACGCCCATACACTCCATTGAGCATAAAAAGGTTGTACGCTAAGTTCGTCTTTGTAGGTTATAAAAGCTTGTCTGTATATACCTTTAAGTCGTGTAGTAATGCCATCTTCTTCTAATTCTCCATATCGACTAAAAACAGCCTTTAAATTATAATTTTCCATATATAACGGTATATTGAATACCTTGATAGTACGGCTTTCACGACTTTGAAAAAGTTGTTTTCGTTTTTCTTGTAAATTTTCTACTTTCTTAAAGGAGTAGACGACATTATTTTCATCGCCATCGGTTGCACTAGGCATTTTAAAAGTCATATTACATAAGCTATTTAAATCGACTTCAGTGTTGACTTTAATACTAATCACGTGACAGTATTTTTGTTCTTAACTGGTATCATCAGTCAATTTAATTGGTTTCTTTTCTTCAAAAGTGGTAAAGACGTCAATTTTTGATTTGATAATTTTAACAATATAATGACAAAATTGTGTACTTTTGGGCGCCTCCGGAATCGTACAAGTTGCTTTCCATGTGTTATGTTTAGATAAGACGATTGGTGAAAATTCGGCGTAAGCCATTTCTTTTTCAGGCAATTGATTATCGGCAGATGGATCAACAAAATGTGAGTCATCCTGCATCGACTGATCATCTTGATCTTGTGTGTTGATCTTTCGTAGTACATCTGAATGATCTTCATTAGCTTTTCCTTTGTTCGCAGTTGGTGTTGCAGAGGTTGATTGTGTCACAATAGGATCAACATTTTTCGGGGTCTCAGCAGGTTTGGTTTTCTTTTTTTGCTGCGTATTTTGTGGATTATAAGCAACGAAAGGGTCAAGTTCTTGTCGTTAGAAAGTCGCTTGTTGTTTTCTATTATATGGTAACCTTGCAGAAGCCGCTGCTTGGTGTTGTTGTTTTTTCTTCTTCTTGTTTTCTTGACGTAAGGTAGCTATAGACTTAACTGTAGTAAACTCCTCGTCATTAGGAGTGAAAGTAAAATTATTCGAAGTATCTTGCGCAGTAGAAGTTGTACCAACAACTCCTTCCATAGTTTCTCCCTGCTCCTGGTTGTCTATACCCTTCTGGGCAGTACTACGAGTAGTCCTAGCTGGGGCGGACATACCGTTAAATTTTACGAAATAAAATAATTATGAGAATAAAGAAAAAAAAAAAAAAAATTTTCTAAGTTTTTCTTTGTAAAAAAACGAAAATGTAGGAACGGGAGAGAGAGTTTTACATTGTCATTGACATTTATATAAAGTTATATAAGATTAATCTGAGAGTTTTTTACCAAAAAGGAAATTTTTTTATAAAAAGGGAAATGATTTTCAATTTCGAGGCAATTCAGCAGGTGTTTTAATAACAAATTGAGAAATGATTTCCATAGAAAATCTCGTGACAAAATTTATAATAAATTTAAAATAAATGATCAACAAAAATGATCAACAAAATCGTTACTAGTTTTATAAAAAACGCCCAATAATATCTTTTTATTGTTTTAATTTAAACTTTTAAAATTTTCTACTTATAATCGCGTCCATGTTAGGTTTCTAACTGGAACCCATTAATAAAAATAAAAATTTAAACTTTTAAAACTTTATCCGTAGCATTTTGTGTACCTTTAGCTTAGAGATATTCCGTAGAATATAATTTAAATATGACAAGAAATTTTATTCCTTTTAAACAACAACATATTTTTATTAACAAAATAAATATAAGAAAAATCATATACGGTAAAAAGAGAAATTAGTATTTTTTAAAAAAAAAATTTCTATTTTTATTTTTTTTTATTTTTTGGTGAAAAGTCTCCGTTTTGATCGTTATACTGATCATATTATGACTTTTTTAATTATGGAATAATAAAAATAATATAATAATAGTTTTCATTTTCTTTTGGTTTGGTTAAATTATATTTTTTGGGGGAATAATCTAAATTTGATCGTATAAACACGATTACTAATTTTTTAATGAAAAGAATTCGTATCTTTTTTTGGTTAATTAAATATAATAATAAAAATGACATTCTAATAAAAAAAATAATTAGCATTACTTAATTTAGTCAGTAAAATCTATGCGAAGTAAAATTGTCTTTTGATAAAAAAATTCCTTGATCATTTTCGGGCATAATTGATGATCACTTTTTAGCTCAACTTCTTGATGAAAAAAATCTTATTATTCTTATATAATCATAACTTCTGATGAAAAATCATAATTTTATTAAAAATAAAAATAATTGCTTTTTTTTAACACCAAATCTTACCTAGATTAATAATATCCCATAATTTTTTAAAATGCCTGAAACACTATAAGACCATCTATTTTGAGGGGGTACGAAATGTTAGACTGTAATGAAATGAGCTGACTGACTAAGCTGAACAAACAAATCAGAGCAAAAAATTGATGACGAATTACGTAGAAACCAAGATAAACGCCGATTTTCCTTCCGGAAAGAGGGCATCGATGGTAAACCTGAGAAATTTCAATGCTTTTCCAGCTGCACCATGATAGATATCGTGCGGTGATTGAAAGTGTCTTTCTCTTTTTTTAGTTATATTATCTTCTGGAATTGAATTAGAAATCACGTGATAATAGCTATTTACCGTATAACGGTTAGTCTTAATCTCCGTATTTATATCTTGTTTCTTGTCCTTATTATAAAATAAAAATTAAAATTAATCAATTAATCTCTGTATTTACTATTCTTTGAGTTTTACTTTCTTAAAAATTGAATATTTATTTTGTATCGCATTCTAACGAACAATGATGACACTAGATTTCATCATAATTCGTCATATGGAAAAGTTTCTATAAGATGGACGAGAATTCGTTAAATTACTGATATCATTATTATGACTTTGAAATAGTTCTATTTTTTAACTGATTACTACAGACGCACTACTGTATTTAAAATTACGCTTCCCAGCTTCTCAATTTCCTTTCAATTTTATCCACACTTCGTTTACAACCATTCGTCAGTGATAACATTTGCTTGCCCAAAATCAATTATAGAATTATCCATTCCAAGTTCATCCTAAAGTGTTTGTCATGTGAATTTCTTAATAAATAATTTATTCTTCGTCTAAAGAATTTTTGTTAATAAATCAATAAATATTTTGTAACACATACTAGAATTAAAATTACTTGATTGAGTAAACCATGCTTGGAACTTAAGACAATTGAATTATCCAAATCATCATACTGCGGTATAGCCAATCTGACTGGTCGTTGTGTCTAGAACTTTTTTTAATACTGAATATAGAAAATATGTAAATTAGTTTTCTTTACATAATAAAATAAGTTTAAAATTTTCTAAAAAACCAATGTTACAAATTTATATAATAATTAATAATTATTAGTAATATACAGAATTTTAGTGACTATTATTGTCCGAAGCGTAGCGTAGGACTATATGCTAGACTCGATATCATGCAATGTCCATCTGTCATACCGCATCAGATGTAACAAATAAACGCGTAAATAATTTATTTAAATAGTTTAAATAGTTCCAATATATAATATAATAGTGTAATAAATATAAGTTTAAAGAAATCGAGTTTACATTATTTATTTTTAAGAAACTAATACTTTTATATTTTTATGTAAAAAATTTTGTTATAAATAAAAATTCGAAAATAAATATCTCTTTGGCTTTTAAAGTGTGAATAAACCGTTGCTTTTAAATTGTCAGTCTATAAATTGTTGCTTTTTTTAGTTGTACATTTTTGTAGAGATATATTTTTTTAGATGGTCATGTGAATATAATGCTTCGGATGCCCCAACAGTTCTTGTTGCCTAGTTTTATGAACACCCAATACTGGAATTGGTATTAGAAGTATTACTTCCTGTTGATTGGTTAATACTTTTAATAACCATTTGATTGATACTATAATAATTAATCGATGAATAAATTGAATCTTTATAACTGTATATTACGTTTTATTCGTAAAAACTTTTGTGATTTGAAAACACTTTATATTATGATTTTATGAATTGTATTATAAATTATTACAATTATTATTGCATTGGTTTCCTCTAATTATAACTTCAGAACACCAATAATTTATCCTTTCAGCTATTTTCTCCTCTTTTTCCTGTCCATTCACTAGTAATAAAAGTTACTACTTTAAATTGTTATTGGTAAAACAATAGTTGTTTTCTTAATATTAATTTTCTCGTCAAATTATTACAATTCATAATTATAATTACAAATCTCAAAATTTACAAAGTAAGTAGTAAAAATTAGGTGATTATATAAGACCTTTGTGCGAAAATAATATAAATAGCTTAACAATATACCAATCAATTGATCAATATAAAGAAATTTATTAATAAAGAGACGACAGAAATTTCAAGTAGTAATAATATGGAATGGATGCAAATATTAGAAGAGAAATCTATCAGAATATTTCCGTAAAAGAGATAATACACCAAAAAATCAATAAATGAAAATTTGTTATGGAGTAAAGTAAATATTAATAATATACAAAAGTCAGAATGTTAAATAATACTACTAACATCTATATACCAAGAGATATATAGAAAGTGATTGACGTAAAGTTACTCACTATAATAATATAGTGAAAACTTACTTATACAAGCCACGTGACTTGCACAGAATCTACTATATGTTCTTATGCATGCAATATCATAAGAACAATTTAAATTTATTTATGTTGGCTACATTGTTGCTAGACATTTGTAATAACTGGTCACATGACTTTAAAAAAAATGAATGTTCTAGAAATTCATCACAAAATTATTTAAATAAAGCTACGGGTTTCAAACTCAAAATTTATTCTTTTTTTTTTATTTTTACATTAAGAAATCATGCCTTCAAAATTTTTAGCAGAATTATCTAACGACTATGAAAAACTTTTTGAAACACAAATTGGATATGATGTTATTGTTTATGCTGGAGAAGGGCAAAATATGAAGGAAATTCATGCTCATTCAAATATTTTATGTATTAGGTCTCAATATTTCAGTTCTGCATTTTCTAATGAATGGGCTGAGAAAAGAGATGGAAAATTTATTTTTAAAAAACCAAATATTTCACCTNTTTCTAATGAATGGGCTGAGAAAAGAGATGGAAAATTTATTTTTAAAAAACCAAATATTTCACCTCAATTATTTAATATTATTCTTAGGTAATAATTTTAATATTTTATGATAAATTTTTTTATTCACACAATTTAAATTTTTCTAACTTTTAAATATATTAGGTTCATTTATTGTGGAAATATTGAATTGAAAAATTTACAAGGTCCTGATGTATTAAAGATATTGATAGCTGTGGATGAACTAAATATCATTTCATTAGTTTCCCATATTCAAGAATTTTTGATTGAACATAAAACTGAAATTTTAAAACAAAATCCAACTGAAATTCTTGAAACAATTTATCAATATGAAACATTTACGGATTTATGGAATTTTTGTCTCAATAAAATTTGTGAAGAACCTAAAATTTTATTCAGCTCTGATAAATTTATTAATTTAAAGGCTCCTTTATTGGAATTATTATTAAAAAGAGATGATTTGAATATGGATGAAATTGAAATTCGGGAGAATTTATTAAAATGGTGTTTTTCTCAACAAAATATAAAGAATGATCCAACAAAATGGAGTGAAAAAAATATTATAAAAGTCGAAAAAAAATTACACAGATTTATTCCTTTAATTCGATTTTATGATATCGAACCTACAGATTTCTTTCACAAAATTTATTGCTACAAAGACGTCTTACCACAAGATTTAATTCATGATCTTTTGGAATTTCATATACTAGTTCCTAATATGAAATCTAAAATTGATTAACTACCTTCAAGAAAACTATCGATATTGATTGAATCGAAACATATTCCTCTTTTTGCTTCATGGATTGATAGAAAAGATTCTTCACATTATAATATGAAAAATATTCCATATGATTTTAAATTATTATATCGCTCAAATCGGGATTATGGAATTGACAATAACAATTTTCATAAAAATTGTGACAATAAAGGAGCTACTATTTGGGTAGCAAAAATTAAGAATTCTACACAAATAATTGGAGGATATAATCCACTTGATTGGAAAGGTTATGGTGTTTGGAAACCTACAACAAATAGCTTTATTTTTAATATAACTGATGGAAAAAATATTTCTACTTCAAAAGTAAGTTATGTTAATAATAAGGATCGGAAGTATGCTGTTTTTTGTCATTATGATGATGGACCAACTATGGGTAATTTATACTGCCATAAGAATAATAAATGGTCTAATAAAGAGCGTTTTTTTGGTTTTGCTTACTCCAACATAGGAATTCCAATGAATTTTATAGTAGAAGACTATGAAGTATTTCAAATAATTAAAAAATGAGTTTGTATTTTAATGATTGAATGAAACCAAAAATCAATATTTTCTTGATTTTTTTTTTAAAAAAAAAGAATTTATGAGAAACTTCTAATAAAGACCTTATAATTACTAAGACATTAAATCTCTATCCATCTTAACAAAAACAATAAATTCATTTAAATAGATAAAATAATTATTAAGATAAAAATTTCTAATTAATTAATTAATCACATTTACTATCGTTAAAATCATTTTTTTTAATAAAGTGTTACAGGTACACCTAATAAACTTCTATACGTTCAAAAAAGGCATTAAAATTATAAGTAGTAGTAAGTCATAAGGGATTAAGATTTTTAATATTACGTTTATGTGACTTCTGATAAAAATGCGACCATTTATTTATTGAATATTTCAATAAATCAGTAAGATAAACATCTTAACAATAAGACTTCTATTAATAATTAGTCACATGACTTAAAAAATGAATGGCAAAATCTAAAGTAACTGTTTCTAGAAATTCATGGTACACAAAATACACAATCGACTTAAATAAAGCTACGGCTTTCAAACTTAAAATTTATTCCTTTTTTTATTTTTACATTAAAAAAACATGTCTTCAAAATTTTTAGCAGAATTATCTAACGACTACGAAAAACTTTTTGAAACAGAAATTGGATATGATGTTATTATTTATGCTGGAGAAGTACAAAATACGAAGGAAATTCATGCTCATTCAAATATTTTGTGTATTAGGTCTCAATATTTCCGTTCTGCATTTTCTAATGAATGGGCCGAGAAAAGAGATGGAAAATTTATTTTTAAAAAACCAAATATTTCACCTCAATTATTTAATATTATTCTTAGGTAATAATTTTAATAATTTATGATAAATTTTTTAATTTATACAATTTATAATTTTCTAATTGTTAAATATATTAGGTTCATTTATTGTGGAAATATTGAATTGAAAAATTTACAAGGTCCTGATGTATTGGAGTTGTTGATAGCTGTGGATGAACTAAATATCAATTCGTTAGTTTCCCACATTCAAGAATTTTTAATTGAACATAAAACTGAATTTTTAAAACAAAATCCAACTGGAATTCTTGAAACAGTTTATCAACATGAAACATTTACGGATTTGTGGAATTTTTGTCTTGAAAAAATTTGTGAAGAGCCTAAAATTTTATTCAGCTCTGATAAATTTATTAATTTAAAAGCTACTTTATTAGAATCATTATTAAAAAGTGACGATTTAAATATGGATGAAATTGAAATTTGGGAGAATTTATTAAAATGGTGTTTTGCTCAACAAAATATAAAGAATGATCCAACAAAATGGAGTAAAGAAGATATTATAAGAGTTGAAAGAGAATTATACAGATTTGTTCCTTTAATTCGTTTCTATGATATTGAACCAACTGATTTCTTTTACAAAGTTTATTGTTACAAAGGCATCTTACCACAAGATTTAATTCATGATCTTTTAGAATTTCATATAGTTCCTAACATGAAATCTAAAACTAATTTACCACCTTCAAGAAAACCAAATTTAAAGTATCATCTTGATTCAACCGTGATTGAACCAAAACATATTCATATTTTTGCTTCATGGATTGATAGAAAAGATTCTTCACATTATAATATGAAAAATATTCCATATGATTTTAAATTATTATATCGTTCAAATCGGGATGGAACTGACATTGAAACTTTTCATAAAAATTGTGATTATAAAGGAGCTACTATTTGGGTAGCAAAAATTAAAAATTCTACACAAGTAATTGGAGGGTATAATCCTCTTGATTGGGATGAAGTTTCACATTGGAAAACTACTTCAAATAGCTTTATTTTTAATTTTACAGATGGTAATAATATTTCTACTGCAAAAGTAGGATATGTTGTTAGACAAGATGTTGCTGTTTATTGTGATAATTTTCACGGACCAACTATGGGTAATTTATACAGCTATAAAAATAATTGGTCTATTAAGAATCGTCACTTTGGGATTGCTTATCCTAACATAGGAATTCCAGAAGACTTTATAGTAGAAGATTATGAAGTATTTCAAATAATTAAGAAATAAGTTTATATGTATAGATTATTTTACTGATTGAATAAGGCCAATATATTTTTGAAATTTTTTTTTTTTTAATAAAAAACTTATGAGAATCTTTTAGAAAAGACAAAACTAATGAATTTATTAGAATGGATAAAATGATTGTTCCCAAGATAAAAATTTATTACATTTAAGTGCTTTATTTTTTTCAGCTTTTACTTATACGTTCAAAAAGACATTAAAATTATAAAAATTTATTAGGTGTTTCTCTCAACATCTTATCGATATTAATGTAAAAAAATGATTTTAGAGATAGTAAATTGTTTACTAACAACTTGTGTGTAACGCATTTATTTCTTTTAATCTTTTTTATTAATAAGTAGTAAGTCATAAGAGATTAGTGAATTTAATAAATGAAATACTGATACAAGTTTACATAATTATAAACAAACTTGTGATGCATCATTTGAGATCTTTTAAGATTTTTGATATCACAATTATGTGGCATCTGATAAAAATGCGATTATTTATTTACATAAATCGTTAGATTCGTAGTTCTTTGACATCTTAATAATAATACTTCTATTTTTGGACACTCGTAATAATTTGTCACATGACTTAAAAAAAATGAATGACAAACTGTCTCTAGAAATTCATGGTACACAAAATACGCAATCGACATAAAATTACTTAAATAAAGTTACGGCTTTCAAACTTAAAATTTATTGTTTTTTTTACACTAAAAAATCATGTCTTCAAAATTTTTGGCAGAATTATCTAACGACTATGAAAAACTTTTTGAAACAGAAATTGGATATGACGTTATTATCCATGCTGGAGAGGGACAAAATAGAAAAGAAATTCATGCTCATTCAAATATTTTGTGTATTAGGTCTCAATATTTCCGTTCTGCATTTTCTAATGAATGGGCTGAGAAAAGAGATGGAAAATTTATTTTTAAAAAACCAAATATTTCACCCCAATTATTTAATATTATTC